CAGCTGCACCTACTCGCACGCCCAAGCTTGGGGGGAGGGGCGCAGACATTCCTGGAGGGCTTGAGGAAAAACAGATTTCTGTCCCCCACCGCTGCCAGTGGGTCTGAGACAGAACCCAAGAATTTTCATTTCTCCCAGCTCCCCAAAGCTGCTGGGGCTGCCTTCCTCGGATCACGCCTTGAGTCACACTGGTCTAGAACCTTCCACTTGGGGACAGATGTGGGGAGGGCCGTGCAGGAAATGGAAACCTGGTTGTTAAACTGTAGATTCTAGAGTTGAAGACCATTTAGATGGATAAGTAAGGAATTTCATAAGATGGTAACATTAGTGTGTGTATATTTGGAGTTTTCTGCTTAGTTGCTGTGTGACCCAGTCACACCATTATATTTTTCTATATCTCAACTGTTATTCCAAAGGAGGCTACTTTTTTATAACTAAATGCATTTTTATTGGTCTCCCTTTCTCAGAGAGAGATGCTAACTCTGCAAATGCAAAAGAGTTTTCAACTGTGCTGTTTCCCTAACCAAGCCTTCCCCGGGCCCAGTGGGGACAGACAGGTCAGCATAGACCCTCCACACTGCGTGCAAACAATGAAACAAAGCTGGTGACCGAAAAGACGCCCAGGTTGAGGGGCTCCGCCGTCCAGGTGTGGGATCAGGCTGAAAGAGGCGAGAGGAAAGGGGAGGGAACCCGAGCTATACTTCCGCCATAACAGTGGAGTGAATCCAACCTTTGTATCCAAAAAACAACGCAACGAGGGAGTGAGGGAGGGAGGAAGGGAGAAGGGAGAAAGAGAAGGAAAGGAAGGGAGGGAAAGTTGACTCAGAGTTAAGAACTGGATGTCCCACTAAAAGCTGGGATAACAAGCATACGTCTGAACCTCGTGGGGAATGAAAACAGAAGACACACAGTTTGGGGCCTGCCCTAAGCAACCTGTCAGGAAAGATCTCCCGCAAGCCGGGAGCCTTCATGCTCCAGGGTAGGAGCTGCAAAGGCAGAAAGGATTCTTCGTGTCCACACGCACGCACACACACTCTCTGGGGGGCAGACTACGTGCACAACTCAGACACCCGGTCTAATTACCACTGGCTGAACAGGAAAATGATGCCAAATTAACACACGTTAGAAATCCCCCCCTATCTAATGAAGCCATCAGCAATTTTAATTTCATTTTTCATGTGTTAGTTAAAAGAGAGAGCACCCGCACTTGGCAAGTGATTATCTCCTGGCCCTCCACAGATGCTTCTCCAGCTTATGCCGTACTTATCAGCAAATGCGACTGGATATAAAACTGTTCCGAATATTTGCCTTCCAGATTTTTCTTTCATTCTCAGGTTTAAAAACGAGTGGAACTGCTTTTTGCCCCCTGCGATTTGAATCTGTTCATTTGAACAATGGGACCCTGCCCAAGACGGGAGAAGGCTCCAGAACACAAGTGTGTTCTCCCTCTTCCAGTCGTGCGGGCCACTTGGGCTTTGAAGCAGCTGACGTGAGCCTGCAGCAGCACTGCCTCAAACCTCCCGCCCTCGGTGACCAGTTACTGCCAAGCCTCGATGGTTACTGCGGACAGCGTCCTAGAAAAAGGGGGCAGAACTGGATCCAGCCTCTGAGACAACTACCCCGGATTCTGCACTGTGAGATGCGGAGACAGATCTTCCAACAGGCAGAGGTTCCCCCAAGGCTGCCCAGCTGTCGGGCAGCAGAGCTGGGTCAGACTGACTACCAGCCAGGCGTCTTCCTAATCGTACGGAAATATGTCCCCTGGTTAAGTGGAAGCAATGCTCTTGACTACAGGCAGCCGTTCTCCCGGAAGTGAGGGCTTCTAATACGGACAAGATGGACTGTAAGAGGGGCACTGGATGCTGGGGTTCTATCTGCAATCTTGGGCACCCCCACAATCTGTAGTGAGCACACTGTATCATTTCTTGTCTTCACTGAATGCATGTCTGTTTTCTCGGAAAGTTGCATCTCCACCAGGGAGGGACTGTTCTATCCACCAGGCAACCAGCTGTTGGCATAGATTTGTACACAATGAACACTCAAATGCACCTTCTATAAAACAAATGAATGCCCAAAATACCCAGCAAAGCAGAGATGGCGGAGACGCTCTGTAGACTGAGAATGGAAACAAAAATAATTATTTGAATTTTTCTGACATTGAAAAGTTAGGGAGGACATCTCCTTAGGTGTCAACCAGGGAGTAGGTTCTAGACTAACACACATTTTTCTGGAGCCCAGTCATTCAGCGATTTTCCTTTCTTTCCTTTTTTAGGACATTTTGTTGTCTTCATTGAAAGCCCTGTATACCTCTGATCAACCACTGTCTCCCCTAAGGGACCAGCACATACACAATCACTTTGGAAAAGCTTAATCAGCCCTAATTGAGTCACAATATTAACCCAAATTAATCTGACTTTTAGGAAGTTGGCAGCACTCTTCAGTGTAAGCTGGACTCTGACTCCTGCACAACCTTCGCGGGGAGTAAGTGTTCGAGTTCTGAAACCTTGAGATTCTGCCGGTGATCCCTGCGTGAAGATTCCTTCCTTCTCAAAGACATTCATTCCACTGGCTCTTTATTTCTGTACTAAACTCCAAGGAGGATCACAGAACTGCAAACTCCAGAAAGCCTATTTCTGTAGCAGTTTCCCAAGAAGCAATCTGGTGTCAGTCTCTAGCCCCTCAGTGGAGTCCCCATCTCTGAAGAGTGTCATTGAATTCCTGGAAACCAAAAGCATCCCCGACAAAAGCAGAACCAAGTGTCTTTAGGTCTACAAGTCATGGAATCAAACAAATAAAATCAAACCTCTTACATTTCCAGGTCTTGCCACTGCAGCAACCCAAACATACCCACAGCTTCCATCCACCATAACTCTATGAAGACTCCACACTAATCATCGGAATCTGCAGGCTTATTCTCAAGGCACATTTCTTTTGCATTTAATAATTAAGAAAAAAAAGGCATATTTTTTTTTCTTTATTGATTTTTAGAGAGAGGGGAAGGGAGAGGGAGAGAAAAATAAAACATCGATGAGAGAGAACATCGATTGGCCGCCTCCTGCATACCCCTCACTGGGGATTTGGTTCACAACCTGGGTATGTGCCCTGGCCGGGAATCGAACTGATGACCTCTTGGTGCATGGGTCGACACTCAACCACTGAGCCACACCGGCCGGGCAAAAGCATAATTTTTAAAAACTCCGCCATATCCTTACAAAACACCTTTGAGTAGAGAACCCCAAGTATCTAAAGGTGCCCTCCAGTGAAGATTCTCGTATCTGGGTGGTCGGTAGCCCACAAATATTTCTATCCCCATTTTAGAATGAGGAAACAGCCTCAGGGACTTGAATTAGGTGAGTCAGTCATGAATCTGAAACAGAAGCGAGACTCCAAGATGACCTTGACTCAGATCCAGCAGGAAAAGGTGTATATTGACAGTGATACTTGTGTGGCTTAATGGGACTCCAGAAAGGAAGGCAGAGAGCCTCATCAGAAAACAGGCGCTACTGTCAGATCCTAAGTACTGTCGTACATATGCCATTACCTTGGCGAGCGAGCCACACGCGCTTCTGGTTGGGGGTTTAGCCATATGTTATATATGCTGTAGTATGCTGCTTTATTTTCCTTCCTACGTGTAATCCCTAAAACACCAAAATGACGATCTCACTAAATTACTGGCTACAATACGTGCTCCCGCTTAGCATTTGCATTTCATTTTAAAACCTACTCAGAAGCATTCATTAATAAGCATTAGGATCGAGGGCGCAGTCAGAGGGAGCTGCTCGGCCAGTGGAAAGCAAAGTCACTTCGAAAGACATCTCCCGAAGACCGAGGGCCTCCATCGGGGCCACTCAGCTATCTAGGAGCCGAGCTGGGTCAAAATCGAGAACACAGGTTTGACTACCACCCAATGCCCTTCGCTTCACTGTACAAAATCCTGTTCCCAGTTCACCCGGAGCAATTCTCTAAAGTAAGCAGCCCTTCTGCTCCCAGAGCGACCGGGACTCCTAACGTGGATGGGACGAATTTCAGAGGAGCACCAAAGGGCTGTGGGAAACCTTTTCTCTTCAAAAGACCCACCTCACCCAGGCCAGTTTGGCTCAGCGATTAGAGCACCGGCCCTTGGACCAAAGAGTCCCGGGTTTGATTCCGACCAAGGGCACGTACCTCGGGTGCAGTTCATCCCCAGCTCCGGTTGGGCAACCAATCCATGTGTCTCTCACATCGATGTTTCTCTCTCTCTCCCTCCCACTCTGTCTGAAGATAAATGTAAAAATATCCTCGGGTGAGGAATAAAAAGTAAAAAAATAAAAAGACCCGTCTCTCTCCCACCACTAGGATTCTAAAGCCTAGCGAACTTGGACTTGTTTATGACGGGAAAAGAGCCAGGCCACCGTCAAGGTCCCCTTCCCACAACTATGCCTGCCTTCGTGGGAAACAAAAGACATAAAAGATGAGAAAAGGGGAAAATGGAAGAGAGATAGCAGGAGTATGTTCTAGTAACACTTGCACCCAGTCAGAAACCAAGGGGTGATGCAGCTGGGGTCATAAACCCCCCAAAATAAAAAATAATAAGAAAAAACTCTGCCAACTCAAGTGAACAACAAAATGCACAGGACACTCATTGGACTAACCGTAACCGAAGGCTCTCCAGTGACCTGGGGGGAGGTCATTTTATCTTATAAATAAGATCTGGGATGGAAGCTAGACTCTCATTCCCGGTGAACCCATCACGCCAACTTCCTAAGCTACGTTTCTTTTCTGGCTGAAACTGTTGAAAACATAAAGGCTTCTTGAGACCATACTTTCAATACAGAAAACGGAAAACAAGGCCCTCTTTCCACTGCATGTAAATCACGTCTTGTCCGTAGCTTCTCCAGGGGAGGCTCTGAGGGAGGGGCTGGAGCTGTCTGGACACAGCGTGCGCCCGAGGCAGGGCAGCCTGGCGTCTTTTAGCAAGTGAACAACTTGCCGCAACAGCATGAAACGTGAATTCTACTCACACTTGTGGGAGAGAAGCACGTCAAAGGAATCGGCCCACCTCGTGGCTTCTTCCGTGGAAAGTCTCCTAGAAAAGAAAAAACGTCTCTCTTGACTATTTTTGAAATGATCTCCTCTCCTTCAGCCACCACTGAGATCTGCTCAGGAGAACAGACCGGAACAACGCAGGGCAAATGAAGGACACACCTGGTCTCCCGAAGTTCTGTCACTGAACTGTGGCACACTCTTAAGTAACTGATGAAAACAAATCTCAGGACTGGAATTTAGCGAATTTAGTGCATCAGCGCTCAGTCTAAAAAACAAAGCTAAGCAAGCTAAGCAAGTGCGCGAATGAAAGATGTCAGATAACAATGAAAAGAAACTGGTGTTGGAGTCAGAAAAGTTAGGCGGAACTCCTGACTCCATCTGTCACCTTGATTTCTTCACTTCTGTCATGGGGACAATGACGCCCATCACGGAACCCTATGAGGGTTAAATGAGGTGAAATCCATGGCGTCATTTAACTCTGGGCCTGCACAGAGGGCCCTGAATCCAGATGATCTCAACCTAAGCAGGTTTTTAGAGTAGATTGGAGTGTTCATGTCCAAATTGAGAGCTCAGGGTGACGGCTACTCAGGACCAAGACATATGGGGTGCTGCAGCTTTAGGAAAGTGGTGGATGATAGCTTTCCTTACATGTAAGAGGAGTGACAAGTCTGAGCAGCCATACATCTGGAAAGGAAAGTAATCCTTCACTCACTCATATTCGGGTGTTATCAAAGGTGCTGCCGAGAGGCAGCGATTGATCATCTAGTCAACAACTCACTGGAGAAGGACGGGTTTGGTGGCCCCACGCTGGGCCCCGGGGAATCCCAAGTGGCTCTACTACTCACTTCAGAGCTCGGTTGGGCTTGTCAGGAAGAATCGCCGTGAAATCACTACACGAGTCTGACTTGTGAGACAGGCATCCCAGTCGAGTCCTCATCCCTTTGTTCCTGCAACAAGCACAGGGGCAGGACGGGGACTGTCACGCAGAGCTGTCAGCTCCCCAGAGGCTCCCTGGAGCTGCTGCTACAAAGCCAGCGCTGTCTTCCCGACCCCACCCTGCCTCAGGTGGCCCCTGGAGACGTCTCGAGGGGGAGGAGAAACACCTAGAAGATCCAGGAATGTACTCACTCCCTACCTTGACTACAGGAACAGTAATAGGTACCCTGCCCTGAGAGGCCTAACGCTTTCTAAAGCTGACATGCAAGTTGATGGTATCAGTCAATGAAGGTGGTTAGCTGGGAAGAATTTCTAAATTAGGATTTTCTGTAGGGAAAGGACATACCGTGGTGGCAAAATCATAATCCACATTTTGCTCTCCCATGAGGAGGGTGGAGTAGCAGCAGCCACAGCTCCTGACTGCCAAGGCCCGAGAGGGGTACCCACCCAGAGAGCAGAGCGGGGCTCACTAGTGTGATACAAGGGTGCAGGTCACAGAGTCTCAGAGCACAGAGCTTGGGGCCTCAGGTTCCCCCCGACTCATCCCACAAGCCTGGGGACAGCAGGGACCATGCCTGCAGGTAAGAAGGGAGACTGGAACACTCAGCCAAAAGAACCCCCTTTGTCAATGCTTTTTCTCTACTTAATTAAGCTCTCCTATCCCTATTTATATTTTAGTCTATCTCAATCAGCATGCTTTAAATTTTAACGTACATGTTTATAACTCTCATAGTTTATTTTCCTAAGGTCCGGATACTTTATTATAGTTATGCTATTGTGGAGGATCCAATAAGAAATGATGCTAATATCTTTTTCTGATTCCTAACATTAGCTCCTTTTTACCTTTAACCAGCGATCAGCCGTGGAAAATGCCTGTTTGTGTGAATAAAGTTTTATTAGAACACAACAACCTCCATCTATTTACATACTGTTGAAAGCTTCTATCGAGCACAAGGGCAGTGCTGGGTGGTTGCAACACAGACTGGGTGGCCCCAAAGGTAAAACTATTTACTCTCTGGCCCTTGACAAAATAAGCTGACTGATATATGACCTTTAACCTTGGCATCTCCTCTCATGGAGGGCAAAGGTAAGTGGCAGGGGTTTGGCATAACAATTTTCTCTGGTCCTAGGAGATGTTATTTTTCATGTTGAAAGGAAGCCCTTCCTGCCTGGCTTTCCATCCCTCTTTTGCACAGATCCTGGGCCTGGGCAGAGAGGTTAGAGGTCGTCCATTTCCATCATCCCTGGGGTAAAGGTTCACAGAAATGTAACAACGTCTACTGGGGCGGTGTGACATTCGGGAAGGATGGGCAAGATGGCAACATTCGTAGTCTAGAGCCCATCTCCGGGGAAGGCGGGGACCTCCAGCTTCCCCGCAATGTCCCCGTCCTGCAGAAACCGAGCCTGCACGTCCTGAGCTCCCACCTGTCTCAACAGGCGCTCTGGGAGCGGGCTTCACGGCAGTCAATCATCCGCCGGAGCCTCTCATGTCCATCACTCCTGCGGATCACAGGCTGCGGTCACCCCGGCCACGCCCCTAAAAGCAAGCAAGAGCATTTCCCCCAACCGGCAGAGCCACGGCAGAGCCACACAAGCCATCTAACGGGTTTAGCAGGGGCCAGAGTAAAGAGTGCTGCTTGTTACCAGGACAACCAAGATTCTACCCAAGAGTTTGCTAGTGTCTTCCACAAACTCTGCTCTGCAACAAAATGGTTTTGATTTTCCATCTTGTCCAGCTGAGACTTCAGTTCTGACCCTTTAGTTAGGTCTGAAATAATGGGAGCAGAAGAAGAGTCAAAGATTAAAGTTACTTAAAAATATATATATATATATATATATATATATATATATATATATATTTTTTTTTTTTTTTTTTTTTTTTTTTTTTTGCCCAGCCAGAGTGGCTCAGTTGGCTGAGTGTTGACCTGTACACCAAAAGGTTGCCGGTTCGATTCCCTGTGATGGCACATACCTGGGTCTTAGGTTCGATCCCTGGTCGGGGCATGTGTGGAGGGCAATCAGTCAATGTTCGTTCTCTCTCTCTCTCTCTCCCTCCTTTACTCTCTCCCTCTCCTTCTCCTTTTCTGCTCCTTCTCCCTCTTCTCCCTTCCTCTCTCTAAGCATGTCCTTGGGTGAAGTTTAAAAAACAATCTAGGCTAGCCTTCCTCTTTCTTCCCTGTCCCAGTAACTCATAGAAGTCCCCTGATGGTTCATACAAGCTCATGCACATGAAGTCCCGCTGGGCACGGGAAGGCTGGGTGTTAAGGCAAATCCTGCTTGCAAGGCCATAACTTTGCAAGGAGCACCCGGGGAAGGACGGCACAGTCCACACAGGAAGCTTGGGGGATGGATGCAAGTGGCCCACCCCGGAAGGCTCAGACAGCGGGGCAGTGGGAAGGCGGAGGAAGAGCAGAGGGGCAAGGGCAAAAGGACAGGTTGGCATCAGTTACCTGCGTGGCATCAGTAAGGCGGCCATACGGGCACCCGCTTACGACTAACCCTCTGGCCGGTGTGCAGGGACGCCGGGGCGGGAGATAGGACTGCGGGCACAGGGGTTTACCCTTTCACGTCCTCTCACCTACAATCAAAGAATCCACTGTAAGAGGGGGCCACCCTCTCTTATCAGACTCTGCTACAAATCCTTTCTGATGGCTTTCTGCCAACTGTATGCCTCCTCACTCATACCCCGTACCCCACAAACTGCTGCTTGGCCGAGCCAGGGCGACCAACCAGGGATGGATGAGATTAAGTTGTTGGGTGGGCTCACACTGTTGCCTGTTAGGAGTTTCTATCTCCCCAACGACCGGTGTCTACAGTGAAGTGGGCCACGTGCCCCGGGGAGGGAGACCTGGGCCTGGCCAGCCAGAAACGACTGTTCTCTCTGTGTTCCTTGAGTGGGGCCCAAGTGACCAGCCAGCCAAGGGGGGCAGCACTTGTTCCAGAAGCACCTGATTGGCTGCCCTTCTGAGTCTCGCCCCCCTCCCAGGGTGGAACCGTGCAGAAGTGACAGTGTGGGAGCCTCGGGAGGGCGTGGACTGGAGGGGGTTTGGGTAACCCCAAGGGATGCCTGTCAGGCCGTCACCACACAGGCTGCTCCTTGCCAGGGATCCCAGACACAGACTAAAGAAATGAGGACACAGTCGCTCTGTCCCACCCCTGTGGAAGCTGCGGGCCCTTCCTCAGCCGGGGGACTGGCCCATTCCTGACCGGAAGCAGGAATCTCAGGCTAAGGGAAGCAGGTTGAGGGCTGATTGACTGATAACCGTGCTCTACTGAGGGTCCGGGTCTCAGGGCCTCAGACCCTTTGTCCCCACAGAAGAGAACAGATAGGACGAAATATGTGAAGACAGCATTCTAGCCATAAAGGGATCCCCTGGGGAACCCAGACACCAAACATAGAATCCGTTTGAAAAGAAACCTAATTTAGATAGATGATCCATTTAAATTCTTTTGATACTACCTGGAACATTTGACACTTTTAAAAATACCTTTTCTAATAATATCATAATTAATAAAATAACAAGATTGCTTTGTTAAATCTTAAAAAAAAAAAATTAGTTAGACTTTGCACAAGGCTCATCCCCAGGACACTGACATGGGCTGGTCCCCTGACAGGGAGGCGTTTTCCTAATCTCGGTCCTACCCATGCGCACACCTGCTCAGAAGTCGGGAGATCGAGCCTTTGGAGCTGTAGGGTCTCTAGAGATCGCTGTTTGGGGCGTCTAAGCCTCATGTTCTCTGGCTTGCAGGATATAGTCTCAGAGGAGGGGGAAGCCCAGCCCAGGCGCCTTCCGGACCCTGGAGCCGAGCAGAACCAGGGACTACCACCCACATACACAGCAGGCAAGGTCGTTTGGGGCAAGTGTCTCAAGCCTCCTGTCCTGTCCCTGCCTCGTCACCCTTCCCACTCCACTGCTGGCCCACACTGGCTTGCTGAAGCTACTTAACCCAGCGCTGCCCACCAGTGCCCTTGGACCCTCCAATGCCCCTTTGATCAGCTCAGCCATGAGGCCCATTAAATAAGGATCTGCAGGGTTCTCTGACCCCCGTGTCCTCATTCACCCCAGCGCCTTAGGGCTCTTAACACATTTGGCCCTTGACTTTTGTGAGACAGAGTTTGGGGTTACCCAGAGCCCAGGAAAACCAAGGGTGTGATTCCACCCACAGTTCATGTGCCCTCCTAGGTGGACATCAAGTTGCAGGTACTCTACAGGATGGGTCATAATGGGAACAGAGGCTGTCCAATGAAAAGAAAAACGGTTAAAAGCAAAGAGAAAGATTTATAACGAGGGGAAGAGGGACAAGGAGCCTCAGAGGGGAGACAGCAATCAATATGGAGAGGCAGGTTAATTAAACATGGATAATGCAATCAACCCACACAGGCACCCGGAGCGGAAAAAAGCAAAAGCAATACTCACCGTCTTTGACCAGTCCTCATGGCCTGCAGGTCTTTGCCAACGCGATGGTCAGAGGGGCTGCAGGTTAAGGAGCTCTGGGGAAAGAGCAGATCTTTCTTTTAGCAGTCAAATCCTTGGCAGGTGAAGGGCATGTGTGCAGGCACACGCGGGCACGCACACACATCTACACATGCATGCATGCACAATACACTTGCCACCACTTGAGCCGGGCAGCAAACAGCCCCGCTGAAATCTCTTCTCCCTGTTTGTCACATCCAGTAAATACTGAAGCAGCCTACACCCAGCGGGCAGCGGCTCAGCTCCGGGGCACAGTCTGCACGCCCATCCTCCTTGGTAGGATGCTGGAGGTGCCCCTGAGCAGAGCTCGCCTGACACTCCTCAGCTTCACCAGGCTGCTTCCCTGCTCCTTTGGCTGCAGCTCAGGGAGAAGTCCCACAGCCCAGAGCTGCCTCCCCCTGCACCCAGAGGCTGTGCAGGGGCAGCGAAGCCATAGGCATTAACTCTTTCCTGCCACCAATGAAATCAAGTGTCCAGGGGGGTCCTCTTCTAATGAGCGCCACTGCTGGCTGAAGGCTGGTTGCTGCTCAGGGAGCGGGGAGCATAGAGATCTTGCCCCAGACAGCTGCTGACAGCAGGAGCCAAGCCGAATTAAATCTCCTAATGAGCCAGGAGGAGGGGGCTGTCTTGCTGGGTGTGATGTGATGTGATAAATGCAGAGAGCAGGAAAGCTACGGGGCAGGTCACACATCTAAATTCCACCCCCTTTTTCCCATTTTCCATTGTGCTGCAGTACCGAGCCAAACCACCCAGCCCTGAAATTAATTATCCCCCCTCTGCTACATCTCAGCTGTCCCCTTACCCCACAGAGGCATTTCTCCACTCCCAGCACCCACCACCCCACTCCTCACTTCTTAATGAGAAATTTCCACCTCCCCAAACATGTATATTTCCAACTCTGTGCTCCTGCCTCTCACCTGATTTTTCCTACAGTGGAAATTCACCTCTCTCCCTCATCCATCACCTAGCAACTTCCCCCTACTTGCGTTTGTTATGGAGTGAGACTTTCCCCTTTGTTCTGCCCAATCTGCACGGTATTCCCATTTTTCTGTCTTCTACCTTTTTTCTTCCAAACCTCCTTACCCACATGGATCTTCACACTGCCTATTCAGTTCAGAAAGGGGACTCCCTCTTCTTGTCTGCCCTCCTGCAGTAGTTCTCTGAGTGTGGTCCCTGGACCAGCAGCGTCAGCATCACCTGGGGGTGTGCGTTAGAGATGCAAATTCTCAGGCCCCACCCCCACACCTACAGAAGCAGAAACTCTGGGGATGGGGCCCAGCCTTCCAGGTGATTCTGAGGCATGCTAATGTTTGCCAGCCACTGTTGGGATAAAGCTTAGCTTCTCCTTATTCCGCTCTAGGAGTCTAGAGCTGGGTCTCCTGCTCCCACTCAGGAACTAGCTCCAAATGCACCCAGCCTTTTGCTACAAACGGTTCTGAAACCCAGAAGGCAGCATTTGCTAGAAACAGACAAATCTCTGTGGAAAGCAATGGCCTTTTAATAAAGATAATCCATTCCATTCGTCTAACCTTTTCTCATGGAGAAAGCACTTTCATGTATTAACCACCCATGCCATAGTCAGAGAGAGTGTTATTATCCTGATGTTACAGAGGAGAGAACTGAGGGTAGACAGGTGGCCTGCCTTCTTCAAAGTGACACAACACCTAAGAGCAGCTCAAGGACCTGAACCGGTTTTCCGTGACTCTCACAGCAGAGCTTTTTCTACCCGGTCATGCTGGGACCCAGTCTGTCCCGGCAGATCTGTCGGGGCATAACCTGTCTTCTCACAGTGATCTGATGGAATGAAATAAAAATTCTGCTGCTGCCTCCGCAGTGACTCATTGTCTCTGAAAATGTCCACAGTGCCCCTCTGTTAGGTAAAGGGAACTTAGCGTTATAAAGCGAGATGCAAAAGAAATGTTTTCCATCTCTCATCACCCCTGCCTTGAACCCTGATGCTAGCTGGGGTTTAGAAATTTAAACATAAAGAGAATCCCTTCACTTTTGGACATGTTCCTGGTACACAGATGAACTGGTGATTAAAAGCCCATTGATCAGCTCTTCCCTAATCCGAGATAAGTTTATAACAAAAGTGGCCTCGTCCCTGGATCCCACCCACGTAGCCAATGTTTAATGAGCACTTCATATGTGCCGGTCACTGTGCCCAACATTGCACTTGCGTTGTTTTATTTAACCCTCACAGCAAACTTACAAGGCCAACGACATCTTGATCAGTCCCACCTTGCAGATGGAAAGAGAGAGAAGCCATTTGTAAGTGGCAGAGCTGGTGTCCAATACCAAACTGTGCTTCCGGCCTCTGCTCTGCCCCTCACTTCAGCACAAAGGTAGTGACATCATGGGACTTTTACACCAGCGCCAACCTGGTGGGACAAAGGCGTCCTTCAGGCTCAGGCTGCCCAGGTGGAGCCGCAAAGGGGCCCAAGCTTCACGTAAAGGCTGACCAGCCTTAGCCAGGCGCCAGAAGCTTCCGTCAGCCTTTAGCGCAATAGTATAGTCATAGGAAGTCGCTAAGCCAACCCAAATGTTTAATGAAAGACATCATAATTAATAAAGTTAATTAATAAGATTTTAAAAGAGAACAAGAATATAAAGAGCAGAAGTTCAGGAGTGTGTGGACTTGCATCAGCCGGGAGTAAAAAGAGAAAACTAAAACTAATCCAAACTCACTCTCTCTTTTTTTAAAATATTTTTTCCTTTATTGATTTTTTTAGAGAGAGGAAGGAAGAGGGAAAGAGAGACAGAAACATCGATGAGAGAGACCATCGATTGGCCGCCTCCCGCATGCCCCCCACTGGGGATCGGGCCCACAACCTGGGCATGTGTCCTGACCAGGAATCGAACTGGTGACCTATGGTGCATGGGTTGACGCTCAACCACTGAGCCACATCGACCAGGCTCTCTCATTATTTTTTTTTTTAACAAAAAACTCCTAAACACCAAAGAGTAACCACACAGCACCCTAGTTTGTGAAGTACAAGCCAAGTACGGGCCCCTTCTCAGGGGAGACTCTCACTTAATCTTCCTTCCTACAGAGACAGGTGCACAGAGAATTCCAGGGGGAAATTAAGCTGAACGAGGGGTAAGCGCTCTGGCACGGTCTCCTTTCCTGAGGGAGGCAGGCAGCCAAGGCAAGCAGGCGGGAGCACTAATGAGAAGGGCTCTCACTTGGACTCTGCATCCTCGGGCTTGGAGACCGGACACAGGTACCCAGAGCTTCGGAGTTCTTCCTGGTTTCCCCCAGGAAAACAGTCATTCCAGCCGTGCTCTGGCTTCTCAGGCTGCCTGGCTCCCCCTGCCCTTCCCGGGGTACACCTGCTCCCGGGCACCACGCCTGGCAGGTGCTGCTCTGCACGGTCCGAGTTCCATCCGGCCTCTCTGAGCTCCAGACCCAGTTCCAGAGGTTGGCTACACAGCCCGCCCCTCTCAGCCCCCGCAGAGCCACTGCCTCTTCCATGACCACTTTCCCTCCTAGCTCCGTCCCTGCTGGGCTCCCTCTGTGTGTCCATGACATCGCTCCATCCCAGCCCCTCAGGTGGACAACTACAGATATTTTTGGCTTCTTTTCCTCCACGTCCCCTTGCTGAATTGGTTTTGAGACCTTGTCTTTGCATTTATGAATTATTTCTCAACTTCAGCCCCTCTCATCCATTGACACTGTCGGAGGTTATTCGGCACTCAGCACAGTGGGTGGCCTTCCCCGCCTCTCAAATAATTGATGTTCCTGACCAGTTCATTGGCCCCCATCCCCCACGAGCCTTCTGGCACCTGGGAGACCACCAGAGTCACCCACTGAACAGATACCACGAGGCGGGCCATCCGCATGATCTTGAAGGGCTCTATTGCAGCTCCTTGTCCTGACAGTCCAATCACATGGGCGCATTTACCTATCCCATCTTACATGTCATTGTGCCTACATGTGCGCGTGTGCACACACACACACACACACACACACACACGCACATACATTGACGCACATGTCTGATTCCTTGGCTGCTCCCTCTGCCCAGACTGTTCCCACCCTGGATCTGCCTCATCCCTCCCTGCTCCCCCTCGAAACCAGTGCCTCTGAGCTAAAAAGTCTCCTTTGGAAGTTTTTGAACTTAATCAGAAGGAACCTCTCCATCCCGACACCACGGCGCCGCTGTGATTCTCTGACAGCCCGCATCACGGTCTGAAGTCCGTCCTCGTGACTTACGTTTCCTGATCCTCCCAAATGACTACGCGCTGCACAGAGACAGAGTCTAGGACTGCTCCTTGCCTATCAATTCCCATTGCCTCGTACAGAGCGGGGACTTAATACACGTCGGCTGAATTCAGTTGTGCCTTCATGAAAAATGACCAAGGGTTCCTTATGGCAGGAACGCGTCAGACTTCCGCCGTCTCCAGGTCAGGACTGGAGTCAGCCTAGCGCTCATGACACTCCAGGGCATCTGCAAACTGTTGTCCCAACAGCCCAGTCAGGCCAGGGTGGAATTGATCAAGAGCAAAAGGAGCACCTGGCATCAGCTCACGGGCCACAACAAATGTCATTAAATGGAAGATAAAGGGAATTAAAGTCTGCAATAGAATATTTTTAGAAGCCATGATAGTGGAGGAGGAGGTTTATTGCCAATGTGTTTGTTTAATCAACATACCACCTAGGATAGTAAAAGCTTTTAATAAAACAGTCATTCGGATATTAGACTTGAATTCTGGTCAGTATGCTAAAGCTCCCGCAAATCTTTTCAAAGCAATTTCCCCTTTGTAGCTTCCTAGTAACAGTAGAAACATGAATCAACATATGTCACATTGATTTGGGGGTTTCCATGGAGACTGGAAGGACACAGGGAAGGGAAGGACAGAAAGAGGCCACTTGGCCCAAAATTCTACAAAAAAAAAAAAAATGCCATCTCAATTTCACTCCTCTGAGTATTAACAGCCTCATTTCCTGTTCATCAGTTCAAGCATCCAGATATATAATTTGTAATAAGCCTGCTCGATTTCTCCCAGGAACATC